TCTTGATCAGTAAATGATTTTCCTTCATTATCAACAGTTGAAAGAAGCAAACCCAGAAGACCAGGACCATTAGATAGACTACTTGAATGTTCTTGTTTTCGATCAACAATTATTTTATTAACTAACTCGGTTACCAATCGAGTTTCATTATCAATAACATCTTTTTTTCAAAAAGGTAATTTTGAGAGAAGTGGTGATAAATTGATAATATACATTGTACGATATAGAATAGCATCTAGTACATTGGTAAATACTTGACTCATAACATGTCTGGCATTAGCATTTGTTTGAAGATATGAAGCAAATGCACTCGATACAATTATTGAAAATGTAAGAGTATTGAAAAGAAGTTGCAGATCAACTGATTGATTTGTCTGTTCATGAAAATATGATGTGATAAGTGTTGATTAAATAGTTTTTCTTTTTTGATCAGTTATAATTGAAACCATTGATTTAAGATTTGTATGATAAAAAGCAGGATTAATCATTTTTCGTGCTCGTTCATGTTCATAACCTTCAGATATTAATAAATTTTGTTTACCAATAATTGGTGCGAAGATTGTTTGAGCAGCTGGTGATTTCATGCATTATTTCGATCAAATATATTAGCAAGTAGATCAGGTTTATTAATCATGAGACGTACAACAGGACCAAAACCAAACATATATATATGTTTGATGTTTTTGAATTAAGTTTTGATGAAAATCCATAGGTGAACCAATTTTTCGACATTGACGAATTTGTGAAAGTTGTCCAATTAATGGTACAAATGGTTCACCGTTAACACCTTTTTCACGAAATACAACATATAAACGTTTTTCTGGACGAATAAGTTTATAATAAATAATCAGAAATATGAGAAAAAATAATTATTATAAATATATATAGAAGAATTTGTATTACCATCATAATATTATAAAGCTAATGTTAAGTATTTCTATTTTAATAGTTAGTGACACGTATACAATATGATTCATCGTTGTTTTTATTATCACAGGTATTCGACGTTGTCTATTAGACATACGATCAAGTTTTTTATTACCATTGAGTTTTATCTGTACAATTTTATTTTTGTTAACGAAGTTACTACTCGAACTGAAGGTCCTCATTTAAGCTCACAAAGAATTCTCGTGACGACACCGCCATGGCTGAATAACTATGTTGTTGACAGGTATCCATAAGATACTGCGTGAAAACATTAGTACCATCGTCTATGAAATAATCCTGGACAAGTTACTAACGGCTGTTTGTCCAGGATTACCCATTCGACAGCATGCTGACTACATTATGACATAAGCCTGCTATTATGGTTAGTATGTAGTGGGAGAGCCCAACAAATCTGTATTGGGCCAGCCTTCTGTCCAGAGTGAAGTCTATCGGGATGGTCCCAAATCCACTTGGATCCTAGTCCGAAAATTTTGGACCCAACCTGTTCTAGTCCAGAGCTATAACTAGTATTAGCTGTATCCATTATTTGATATTTCAATAAATACTTAAGAATAGTTCGAAAGTTCAGTGAAACAATCATAACTCAGCTTCAGCAACCCACGAGCACGAACTCTTTTAAGAATTTTCTAGTTTTACCAAGATCTTCTTGTAGATCCAATATAAGTTTAAACGATGAATTAGTGTTCGAGTAATTGTCTGATAAGAGTTAAAAGTAAAGATTTTTATTTAGTCTTATTTATCTTTTAAAAACACAAAGTAGAAGAACATGAAAATAAGAAAAAAAAAAGATTGTTTTTCTACGTTCACTACTTTTCTTTTTTGTTCTTTCTTTTAGAATAAATAGGAAATAATTCCATTAAGTTTTCATCATTGATTTAATTGATTTATGAACATCACTATATCGTTGCTGGTAATACGTGGGATCAAAATAAACTGTTTTCATTTTGTCTGTTCCATAATAGACGAACACCGTCTGAATGGAAAAAAAAACTTTCTATATTCAAAAAATCTTTAAGAAAAAAAAAGCAAAAATCATACGAAGATTGTTAAAGCAATAACAAAAATAACCGAAATTATATTCCAAATTAAAGCATAACGTGAATAACGTCGAGCTTTATCATGAAAATTAACATCTGCTTTAGCCGAACTTTTTATTGAATAAGCTAATGCAATAAGACCTTCGAATAAAAATCTAATTAAGTAAAACTAAAAACAAAAAAAATCAGTTCTTCTTTTTACCTGTTGCTGGACATAAACAAATAGTTGAAATAAGTGAAAATAAAAAGTGATGAGGAATTCGTACATGTGCTGGTTGCATACGAATTGGTTCATCAATTAGAATTGCTGAAGATGGTTTAGCTATATTCAAAACATAAATTTTCAATTATAAATTATATGTTATTCGTTTATTTTTACTTTTATTTGAATCTTTTTTTTCACTAGACGTATTCATGACAATTTTGTTCATTTATTTGTATCTATAAACGATTAACCTATCGAGGTAAAAAATACACTTACTCGAACTTAAACTAAATTAAGAAATACGATTGGTGTCGACAATGAGCAAAGCCAATTAAATCGAATCGTTTGTTTTTTTATTTGTGGATTATATCGATTACCTTGAGAGCATTCAAGCAGAAAAAATAATATGTGCATTGTGTTGCTCACGGAGAGAGAACAAATGAAGGTTAACAAAGAAAAAATAATACATATTGTTGATCCTACGGACATCTGTACTAAGAAAAAGAACAATTCATTAAATGTGATTGGTTAAAATAAGAGACCTTCAACTTTGGATAATATTTCCACGAGTAAACAATGTTTTTGATCGTTCAAACAAAAAGTGCTTTGGAAAATTAATAAATAATGAGTGACAATTGATTTTATGTAAATGCTTTATTGAGATAATCCATATTTGTAATTTATACTATATAAATAAATAATGCTTATCATTTTATTAATTATTTACAAAAAAAAAGAAAATATGGAAAAAAAAATATTTCCTTACGAGCCAATATTATTGTCTGAGATATAGATTACCTACTTCCATAAAAGGAAACTCCTATTGTCTATTCTAATTTCAGAATGTCTCTTGTTCTTCGAAATATCATTCGTCGATGTCCATGGACAATAATTAATAAAGGTTCTCTTCGTTTTTGGTCATCAAATGGTCAATTTCCTTCACATCCAATGGGTACAGAAGAATATGAAAATCAACCTCGTAAATCTATTACTGAATTACCGGATGAATTAACCGAACATGGAATTAAACCAAAATTTATTTCTGGATATGAAACAACAAAAGATGGTTGGGAATGGGTAGATAATATTCTTTTTAAATCTAAAATACCCGAACCACCTAATCATCCAACTTCATCTGGTTGGATTCCACCTAATCCAATACTTGCTCGTCAATGGCCATATTTTGTTGATCGAGATCGTTTTCATTCATATGCACTTTATGTACGTATATTACCTGTTATGCTTGAATATTGGTTACATGAACAACATCGTTATTATTTAAATATATTTCGTCGTCGTGTTGAATATGATATATATGCACAACGAACAAGACGTTTTAGTTTACTTGAATTAATATCAGGTGATATATGGGCATTAGATCATGATTTAAAAAATTATTTAACTAAACGTGTAGAATTAACAAATGATAAATCAAAAGAATTACCTATTTTATCACAAGTTGATGAAATTAAACAACATATACTTATTGATGGAGAATATGAAGAATGGGTAGCTGATTTTTTAAAAGAAAAAGGATTTTGATCAATAAATAAAATTGTATAGAAGACTAAAAAAAAGAATAAAAAAATTAGATATCTGTTTTGTTTTCTAGATTAATTATGTATTTATCAAATTATAATAGATTAAAATTTTTATGTTCAATTCAACCAAAATTTAGAAAACTTATTATTCGAACATTATCTGCTTCTTTACTATCAAAACGAATCGAACAACCAAAAGATGCTCATTCGAATTTATTAACCAACGATGAACATGTTTTTGAGGTTCAACACCATGTTGTTAAACCAAGTGCTATGGTAAATAAATTTCTTTAAAATTTAATTCGAATTAAAAATCGAAATTAAATAAAAATACAAAAGTGCAACATAATCTTAACTTTTTTTGCTCAAATTATCGATTACAATACGTGATTAATATCGTTTATCGATGAAGACCTTTAAATTCATTGGATTATTTTTCGAATTTTGTAATCTAAATGCATTTTGTTATTGTAAAATAATAGACAAGGAAAATGATTCTGATCGGATAAATATGATGAGTGCAACGTTTATGGTGCCCTTAGAAGAACAGGTATATTTTTTCTTTGTATAATTTAACATTTGAAACCCTCGAAATAAAGAGGAAAAAGAAACATTCGAAAATTAAATGTTTAGCTTCAACTACACAAGAAAATATGTCTAGAAGTATGATGTAAACAGCATGAAACTTCTTTTAAAAAACAACGTAATAAAGAGAATAACGTATAGAGTAATTTGTTTAACATCTTCCTATAATAGTTTGTTGGTTACATTTACCTGGATTATTATTTAGACATCTCAAATTGTTACCTACACTAACCAATTTTGATATCGTTAGAAACAAAAAAAACACATGTACTTTGAGTACAGATGTTAAAGGGCAAGATGTCTAATAAATTATTTTTTCAACAAGAGTACATATAGATAATAAAATATATTATTCATTTAGAATGACTATGAATTAATTTTTAATGATTATACATCACAATTAAAGGAGAAGAATTCTTCAAATGGTCTTGTTCATACTGGATCATGGAAAGTACATATTGGTAATATACAAAATCAATATGTACATATATGGATGTATAAAAATTTTGCTCATTTGGATGAATTTGTTGGTAGTCCAAAATCAAATTTAAATTCAAATAAATTACATGAACATATTGTTCAACATTCAAATCAAATTTGTCTTCCGTTTTCTTATTTTGGTTCGAAAAACCAAAAAACCAAAAAATAATAAATGTTTAAAGTTCTCTTTTTTTTCCTTTAAATATAGGAATTCCTCAACCACGATCAAAATCTGATGATCAATCAAGTCCAAATATTTATGAAATGCGTTCATATTGGCTTAAACCAGGTACATTAATTGAATGGGGAAACTTATGGCATAAAGGTGTACAATATCGACCTGATGCAAAGGTTCTTGGTGTTTTTTCACAAATTGGTGAACTTTATAATGTTCATCATATGTGGTCATATCAAAATTTTCAACATAGAAAACAAATGCGTACTAATGCATGGGCTAAACCTGGTTGGTCAGAGAAGTATGTTTGAACATATTTAATCTTTTTTTTTTGTGAAATACGATGTCAAAGGAATGCTAAAGTATAGAAGTAGAATTTTGGATCTGCCCACAGTTGTGACAGATGCTTTAGCAACACTCCGTCTCAGGAATGGAACAGGTCAGGCCAGTATACCAGCTAGTTCGCCGATTGCTGGTACCAATCCATCTCTGTTCCTCTCGTCCCCACATCACAACAATTACAGAGTGTATATGAAGAACGTTCCGTTATAATATATGATCCACTTGTTTATTGAGTTTTTGGAGATAGATAGTGAAGAAATGTGTCTCAAGATAGATGGAATCAAATAATTTTCGTGTGATTAGTAACAGTAGTTGCATTGTGTTTCACATTATAATACCACAGAGATTGTGCTAATAGTTTTTTCTTTGATAAAGACTTTTTTTCTTTTTGTTATTTAGTGTTGAATATACAGTACGGTTAATTCATAAAATGGAATCAAAGATACTTGTACCATTAAAAAATTCACCAATGCAATAAAACAAGAAATAATGTTTATGGTAGATTAATAATAGTTACTAAGCAGTGAAGTTGCAATTTCAATTATTTAATGCTGTGCTTTTTTTTAATTATTAGAATCAATTACTTATTCTACTTTATTGATATGTATTATAAGTCAATGCTATTGTTCCTTTTTTTGTTTTAAGATTGTGAATTTCTTTTGAAATATATTAATATGGCTGAAGCCGATAAAAAAAATGACAACAGTTCATCATCTAGTCAACCAAATAATGAAGAACAACAAGGAGAGCTTGAAGCTCTTGAAGAAGTAAGTAAATGTTTATCTTGATTTTATAATTTTTTCTTTTACTGAATAGATCAAAGGTCTTTGTAGTTAGTTGAATTATAATTATTCTATATCACATATTCAAATGTTTTTCATTTTAATCGGTTCTTTTTTAAATTTTAGAAAAAAAAAATTCTTATTCTTGTAAAATATTTTTCAAATAGATTTCCTATTGTAATGAAACAATAAGAGATTTTTTCAAAAGAGAAAATCGATTTATCATCAAGCTAATTGTGTAATATTTTTTTTTAAATATCAAAAATAATAATTTTTGTAGCGCAATGCTCGCCGGAGCTCAACATCCATAAGTGATATACAAATCCAGGAAAAAGTAAATAAATCCTTACACTTATGTATATTTGTTCAATTGTAATCTTTCAATGTAAAATTAACAGACATACTGTAATAAAAAAAAATATAACTACTATCGGAATTTTAAAAGAAGGCACCTG